TCTAATATGAAACGTTAAAGTAACTTAGTAATGTAGGGAATATACAATAGTTAATAAATAACAGTTTACAAACCCGCTAATTAATCATTACCACTAATTAGCAGGTTTAAGTAACACAATATCCACATTTTTAAAGTAAAAAAAAAAAATACAGCTAGCATTTCAACCTTATTTCTAACGAACACATTTTTTGATCTGTCATCATTAAAAAAATCTTAGAAAGAGAAGACGCATCTCTATTTGTCAGTGTCGACGTACGCGCAGGAAACGTCAAATTTGAATTTCGAATGTGAGAACAATGCGTTAGGATCGTCGCGTGCGCATGACTCAGCCGACCCGGGAATGTTTTGACATTTCACTTATTTTCGTATTGTCACAGATGTGATGTCATCCGCAGAATGTGGCATTGTGTGACGATGTGTGATGTATGTGTGGTAGGAATCTTATATCTTGTAGTAATATTACATTACTCTTTGTAACATTGGCTTTGAAAACATATTTAGTACAAAGTACATACAGTTAATTTTGACGATGAATTGACATTGTCATTTGAGAACATTATATAAAACTTTAATCAGTTCGGTAAATCAATTTAAAATTTAAATAAAGTACCCAATAATAAGAGAAAAGCTTTCAAAGTAGATCTAATAATCATTTAAGTATGCAGCAAGAGATAAAATCAAATTGAATCAAGCAATAGTAAATTTATGGGAGTTGCATCAAAAACATTAACATTAATATCAATACCACAGTGAACATATTGTATGAGTTGTAAATACATCAGTTAAACTAATCAAGTGTCGTTACAGTCAACTCGTCAGTTGTGTGCACAGTACCAGTCATTTTTACGTTAACGCCATCACAACGTTAAGGCGTTCAGCCTTCTGATTGGTTGGTTAACTTGGAGCGCGCCAATCAGAGCGCTTTACGTCATAAACGTGGCGATCGTGTCAACGTAAAGTAAAGTCAAGTTTCAATAGATACTTAGTTCTTTTATCATTAAGTTTAAGTAGTTCTTGATTTTTATTATTAGTGACGATTTGTAATTTATTGAGCGTTATAGGAATGTTTTTTTGTATTATAATGGTATAATTTCATTTCGGATGTGAAATGAACATGAGACATTTGATTCAATAATCCATAACCCAGTCAAGAAAATAGGTTAAGTTTAGATTTGAACATCACTGTATGTTAATTGGTTTTCTTACTTGTTATTAAACTATATTATGAAGACTACCACAGAAAATCCTTCCTCCAACCTCAGCATTTAATTTCGAGACATGATACAAACCTACTGCCCTTTATAAATCCACACGCGAGACTGCGATTAAAAAAATAAAATCCCGAATCGTGCATCAAAGGAAAACATCGCGTGCAAGGATGCCTTTTGTATCTCAGTGAGATTCAGACCAATCACAATCAAGCTGTGAACTGTTCCAAATTTGTAATTTAAAATACCTGACGGCGTTTACTGGCTGATATAGAGATTTATAAATTTAAAATTGGAATTGATATTAAAAAGGAACGAATATATTTTTGAACATGGAGTCTATTTTCGTTATTCTGATTTATGGATTGATGGATTTTGGAATTTTTCCTGAAGTTTGAATAAATGCGAAGTAATATTTCAAATATAGGTACTGGAAGATGCTAAGGATGATGATGTAGAAAACAATTAAATTAGTACGGATATACCTACATGCAAAACAGTCGAATATTAATTAAATTAAATCCATTTATACCTCCTGTGGTGTTGTGAAATGCTATGCTTGCAAGAAACCATAAAGACTTTATATAGTTACGTCAGGAGACACACGGATAAAATCTCATATTCGCACTTAAACTCCATTGCAACTTAATTAACAAGCCTTTCGTAAAGATATGTTTATTAAAAACGACGAATACGACTATAAATAACATCAGTAACTGTCAATGATTTCTTTTCAAAATATGTTTTTTTTTTATGAAATTCATTAAGTATTGGACATTTTAATTATTTTTTGTTTCACAGTAGCCATACATGAGTGGTTTTATCCGCTGCTCGGCTCGGCTCCTGTAAATCTTAGCGTGATGTTTCATAGATTACGACCGTTTCTCATAAATATGTTAATCAAGTCAAAAAAAATTTTTTTGGACTTGTGAAATGTTCAACCGATTCAGTTGAAATTTTGTATACCTATAGTTCAAGACCATAAATTGCTAAACTGTATGATGTCACCCTAAATCCATTCTGGGGTGTTTTGTCCTGGAACATACTGATCCACTTGATAAAAGATTTTTTAATTAAAATAAATTTTAATCTGACTTTTAGATAAAACATTCCCTAACAACATTTTCGTCATAAAATGTCAATGAGGCTTCAAAAAGAGGAAAGTTTAAAATTTCCTCGAAACTTGTAATGATTATAAAGTTTATCAGCTTATAGGATTACTGACAAATGCTCATTATCAACTGTTACTTTGCTGTCAAAGTATTTTATCTCAGTGTCAATCCAATGTAGGTGTGAGCGTACGATATTTTCAAAATTTTTTTTTTCTTATTGTACCTACAAAGTATAATACAAAGTCGCTTTTTCTGTTCCTATATCCCTATCATGCTTAAATCTTTAAAACAACGCAACGGATCTTGATGGGCTTTTGATTGTAAGAGTGATTGAAGGTTTATATGTATAATAAATAACTAAAAATATTAGAAGATTTTAGTATCAGTACTGCACCCATGTGGATCCGGGGTGGTCTAAGTATAAAATACTAAACTAACTAAACTAATAGCTGGAATACAGTAAGTAGCTAAAATAAATAACATAATCACTGTTTTTACAATAATAGTAACCAAACATTGAAATCAAATATTGCCTGCCGCCACCCAACAAATACGTAACTCGATAATATTTAGACAAGGAATCGAACTCCGGACTAAGCTCAGCAAACATAAAACTGAGATAAAACTAAATAAATAAACGGTTTAACACCACCACACACAATGCACAAACAAACTGCAGAAGTACCACTTTGCTTTGATTTGGGATAGAAACAAGGAAAATATAAAGTAGGTAAGTCAGGCTGTTTGATATCACCCAAAATCTCAAAAACTGCGTAACAAATATTATGATTATATCTGAAATTGAAATCGACTTAACAGACTGTACCTAGTGTTTATTTATCTGTTTAGAAAACCTATTAAATAGGAACCAAAAAGCGTTTCTTATGAGAAGCCATCGACGCCGCCCGTTGAAACCCATAAAACCAACGATCAAGAGCGTAAAATTTTAGAATTTGGGAATGGGAGAAGAACTGGATTGAGCATCCAATATCTTCACCCATACAGTAAACACTCCATAACCGTCATTTCATACTGGTTCATCGAGGCCATGGTATCAATCTGGTTGAGTCAACCCATTTGCGCTGAAAAGCACGGCTTTCCCAGACAAACCAAACTCCGTTGTTAATACTAAATACTGTTTTCTTAATATTAACAAGTTATCCTTCGTTGTATGTCCATATCCAACTGTAGAGTGACTAAACCGTCAGACAGATCTTGTTATGTATGCATAATTTTGGTTTGAATGACCTCTATATACACTTGCAAACCGAAATTCGCGAGATGACGCCGGATAGAGTGACCACACAAACACACACATACATTTATGGTCTAATGACCAGGTGGTACAATGGTACCTGCTATAGGTGGGTTAAGGATTCAATGACTATATGAGGGTATAACTGTTAATTTTATTGCTATTAATTGAATTGTTCGAGTTGCAAAAATTTATATGAGAACTTAGAATGAAGAAGATTCTTCTGCACTCTATGGTTGACTATTAGAGAAGGCTACGGATGCCGACAACTTATACAACTCCTTTGGTGTGACGAGTGTCCATGAGCGGCACCGATTGCCTACTATCAAGTAATCCATCTGCTCGTTTGCCAAACTATATCACAAAAAAATATCTAATATTAATCATTATTAATTAAATTATACGTGACCAAAAGTACTTTACTAATTATGGTCTCTGCACATGCGGCTGGTTGTCAACATACAAATTAGTCATAGCTTACATGAAACCCCCGTGAATCATGGTCGTGATGCTATTAACTAAACTTGATGTGTCAGCTGTAAAGTATTTTCAGGCAGAGGAAATTTTAAGGGTATAAATAAAAGTATGCAATGCTATAGATGAACCCAAATTGGCCAAAACAACGGTGGATGATGATCTTAGAATGACAGAAATTAATCTATAGCATTAGGTATATTTACTTCTAGAAAATTGCATATTCATAAAAAGGTCATAACAATTTCCAAAAAATATTAAAAATGTTGATGGTTGTACAACGAAAGTCGTGGTGAAATATTCTGATCACAAAATCCTGGTCACTGTCAGATCAGCGACAAACTTGGCTATTAAACTTTTCTCGAATAACCCAATTATCAACGAGTTTCTCATAAATCTCTCCGAGATATTCTGCGAGATATTAATCCTCTTATGGACGAAAAAAAGGACCAAATCCATACTTAACGGTTTTAGTATAAATAATGTGGTGGTATTAAATTTATCAACACGATACTATCTTATAGAGATTCATGAGAAAGATTTAGGATATATTAGCAAAGATTGATTAAAAAAAAACTCATCTGTCAACTTTTAAATTAATTTTACCTTGAATCTTGTAATAATCTCTGACGTTATTATGTTTTTGTTCGCTTATTTAATAAGCAATTTACATCGGATATTACACACAACAATATTGGTATCTTTACGTGCAATAAAGTCGGAGGCCCAATCCCTCGCCTTCCCCTATCCCTTCCCAATCCTTATATTCGCAACCCCCATCCCCAAAAGGCCGGCAACGCACTCGTAACTTCTTTGGTGTTGCGGGTGTCCATGGGCGGCGCCGATAGCTAACCATCAGGTAAACCGTCTGCTCGTTTGCCGACTTATACCATAAAAAAAAAGTATTTTACTTCATTAATTATAAAATCTGTATCTACATTAATCTCACCGTTTCCTCTTCTTCTAAGGCCCTGATGAGTTCGTAGTACAGCATCTCAGCTTCCTGCGAGATCTGTATCTTCTCCTCACAACTCTTGTACGAGATCTCGCACGACAGGTCCGTTTGCAGATGCATCTTCATTATTTTTACTTACAACACTTATTTTAAACACTTCACTATCAATAACTAATTTTACATGTACTTATTATTTGTTGTCCATTGTCACTTACATTATCTTTGGTGGGTTTAATTTGTTATTTTCTAATAGGTTTCTGTGTCTGTAGGGTAATGTTTTTTTAAATTATTAAAAAGCTCTTGTCTTGTCAAGTCACAAGCAGTCGACCCCAGACGAAATATTGCAGCGATAAGTCATGTCATGCATATTGATGAAGAGCGGTCAAGGACCGATGCTAATTTTGGAATTTATATTGATACAATTTTAATGAATTTTGTGTTGCGTTTGTCTAATATAACATTTATTGTTCCACGGTTATTAACGTGATTTACTATCATTAGATAGATAATATTATTTTGGAGATATTTATTATAACCGAATGTAGTATTTTAGGTCGCTATATAAATACAGTGCACTTACAAAAATTGGCAATAATGTTCATACGACCATCATCAATCAAATCATGAAAGCTCGTTCAGTACAGTAATAATTAATTCTGTCTCGTCTCCATCCTGCCTTTAAGGACCAGCTCCGACTTTCAGGACAGTTCATAAATATCATAATTCGTTATGCTTCAGCGAGACGTCGGCGTATCCACACAGTTATTCTTAGCATTTAGTTGCTGGAGATCCTTGGATTACACAGGAATGTATAATCCTTAAGGATTTAAAGATTTGTGGAAGATATGGCGATGATTACTGAACTAAGAAAACTATAGTTATCTATTGATGACAAGTGACAGTTGGTGTTGTGGAGATATTTATTTAAAGAGCGAACCTTAAACCGCTGCAATAAATTTGTTTAAATAAATTGCTCGATGAATTATTTATCGACATAAATTGTGTGACAAGGAGATAAATGTACGCATATTAGCGGTGTTAAATCCTATAAGGTAAGTCACATGGACACATAGTCGGCGTGAGCTGACACTTCTGTCCTTTTTGCATAGCTTGTTACAGCTCGAGACGGTACTGATTTAGACTTGGAATGCCGACATAAGTACATACATACATGCATGGTAAATGAAGGTAGGTATACCTCAGAGCCTTTGAAGTATCTGGTAAAAGCATTGGTGGGCAATACACATGTTGGGCGTGATTTAAGCGATAATAAAGGATTAGACTAACATTATGGCGATGGTGTGTTGTCTTACAGAGTAATGTGTGAGCGCAGTGCTTGCATACAAAGCAAGAGTAAATAGATTATAGTGAATAGATATGAAATGGGTTGATAATGATACTAAAAAAGTTGTCACTGAAAAAGACTTCTGTTATTATGTTGCAACTGCAGATCAAATAGTTGAAACTCTAGCAATGCGTATGCATGACGTTATGACGATGAACAAATTGATAGATACATATGTCGACCCAATCATGTAAGTTAAACCAATTGAAGCATTTAAAACCATTGATAAAACTGCTGTTGAATCAGAAATCGATTGGTTGGCCGAGTCTTTTATCGAATCAAATCGTGATGAACGTTTGGCAGTTACCCAATACTTGTCCGAAGTGACAGTTAACTTAGTTACGTACTGACGTTTAAAGCCAGGAACTTTGTTATTCCATGTATTTATGAGTTTGTATTTGAGGAAGATGGTGAACATTTTCTTGGGTGATGTGTTTTTAGCACGACATTGAAAAACAAAAACAGTAAAATAGTAAATTATTAGGTTTTAATATTGATCCTTCGGCCTTTGGAAGTGCCATTATGTATACTGTTCAATAAATACTTTAGCATCGATAGTCTTAGGTTCAACTATAACCTAGGGTTATCACTTCGATCTCCAAACTTAGATAAGTTATTCTAGAGATAGAACACATGTAAGGAAAGATAAGAACAGTACGTTGCCTATCGTGTTTCTGTTGAGTAATATCTCTTATCTCGACAGAGGGTAATACTCGTGGTTATTTTTAATTTCGTTGTAGATTTTAATGAAGCGTTTGTTAAAATCATATTCTTCCAGATGAGTAAAAAAGTAATTTGCTCTGACATAAAAATAATCCTATGGATAGTTTTTTAGATTTATATCCATCCGTTTTATATACTTCTACTATTTCATATTTTTCCTGCACGTTTAAGAAATTCTCTCCAAGAATTGACTTAACAATGTCTAGGCGTGAGCTTAAATACCCATGAATGGTTTCCAGGTACGCCTGCTATTTCCAGATCATACACTTGGCTAAACAATATCGAAACTGGCCGTCCTGTTCTAACTTGGTCACAATTTACGGAACTCGTCCGTTATGGACTTTATGCTAGAAACTATGGATTTTGTTTTGTTACCAGCTACGGGACCTTTTGTAAGGTGTTCGTGTTGATTTCTGTTGTAAATGACAAGCGGTTTTCGTTTTGAATAAAGGATCTAAATTTTGTTCAGAATCAGTAGTAATAATTAACTCATTTAAATAATTTTGAATTCTAGAACTATGTATATTTGACTTGTGGCAGGCGTTTGTATTTATGGTATAACGAAATCTGGTAACTTGAAAACTTTATAGTGTTTTGTCTGACACCAAAAAATCAGAAAAAAGGCGAACTTGGATGCAATAAGGATACAAAAAAACCTTCTAAAAACGTTAATCAGATATAAGGCCACCCAAGTCTGGATAGACATGTGTTTCACTTATCTACACACCAAGTTACAAATCAAACAAATTGCAGTTTGAAAGACCACAATTGAACTCAAGTAGTTTCAGGTCGTTAGCCCATCAGTAAAGACTACATTCCTCCCAGTTAACCCTAACTTGTGTAGGATGAAAAGAAGATAGGAATCGAATGAGTGAATGTCCAGCTACTAATATGGTGCTATTCAGGCTTAGTGCAATTTCAATGCATGATATAAAATGATTGAATGAAAATATTTTGAATATAAGTTTAGAATGCTTTGACTAATGGTTGATGTTAGCTACTATCAGATATCTATAGACATAATAGCTTATCCGTGAGATGATGCTGTATTATGTACTGATGTAGACTGAGACTATACAATCGTCTATTAAGTGAAAGATACAAAACCGAATGAAAATTGAAACTGAAACATTCGTAGTACACGAAAAAGTATTTCTTTTGATACAAGATGCAAGTTCTCACAGAATATACTTCTAAAAGTACAGGCGAGACTCTTAACGACTTTTTTATTGAGGTCAACGGTCTCCTGCCAGTAAAAAAAGATACCGTACAATTAAGGGAATGGAGGGTGGCAATTTTTGGATTATTTTTGCTCTGGTAACAATTTTTAAATATGGAATGTGGAAATTATTATTCATTATTATGGTTTGTTCGTGATCTGGGGAGAATATTCTGTAGCGACATTGCGAAGTGTTTTTGGTGGAATGTTAATTAACCAGTCTGTGGTAAAGCGCTATGCACTTATTCTTTATTTTTGTGTGAATTTCATTGAAATGTTATATTTTACTGATTCGTTTATAACTTAAAGTTTATAGGATTATTCACAAGCTAAATCATGAATTAAATAACATAACGCATCAATATTCCTTAAATCCTAAGCCCCACTTCCACATTTCCGAGGTCCCTAAAAAATAACGACTTCCATTTTGGTTCAAAACGCCTTTTCGGTCAGAATCCGTTAAACAGGACGAATTCCGGATAAATGGCTCAGAAAGTGAATTTCACTTGAAACTAGTGAAAATCGCATTCAGTATTGGATTGTACGCGCCCTGAATATAGATGGCGCTAAAGTAGTATTTCGTATGCAGGCTGGCAACACTGATTAAATTAAATGTCAAACATCCTTGTCATAAAATAATAAGGCCATAAAGTTAATTTGTGGGCTTTTACGGGATTTTATTTTCATCTTTATTACTTTTTTCTAGATTGTTATGGTTCCTTCCGTGATTTTGATTATATTAAAAATATGTTTTTATTTTCTGTTTCCATAATTGTGTTTGCATAAATAAACTTTACTGGGTTGAATTGTGAAGATAAGAAGACGGTGAAGAAATTTTATTCATAAACTAATGCAAACTTAAATTAAGCGACTAAATGAAGCCATAAGAACAAAACTTGTTACTTATTTAAAAACCTTTCGTTCATTATCCAGTAGGAAACACATTTTCTCAATTAGTATTACTAATATAATACAGTTTGGTAACTTAATTTTGTTTATCCATTATTTAAAAAATATATACTTCTGTGCTTTCATTCTAGTCTGTTGAATACATAGGTTAAACCTAGGTTAGTTGGTGTTTTTAAGTTAAACGTAGCATAATCTACATTTCGGAAGACTTTTTGGAACTGAAGTGTATGACTTAATTCCGTTTCCACGATATTAAATTTTGGTACTTCAAGATGAAGTAGGAAATGAAGTACTGAGATCAAAAAAAAAACCAAAGGAAGAACTTGAAAAGATATATTCAATGGGTTCTGAACTGCATGCGGTATAAGTACTAAGTAAATAAGTATATCGTCGAGAGAAAAGGATCGAGTATGCTAGTACAAGCTGCTTTAATTAGACTACCCGCATCATTTGCTTCTTTTATAACTTCCGTAGGATGGTGAAAAGACTAGAGTTACTATGTGTTTGTACTAGAGAATATTATTATGAGAGAAAAAAGGATCTGCTTTGTTTTTAAGAGGTGGTTTCTTTTCCGTAAGCCATCTTGGTGTTGTGACTGGGTTATTGGTTTGTTCTTTTTGTTTCCCGTACGTATCGTATCGGCCTCGCATACATGGTATGTTGATAAAAAGCAGCCTATGTCTTAATCCAAGGAGTCAGCTAACTATATGTACCAAATTTGAACCTAATCGTTCGTGCTGTTTTTGCGTGACAGAATAACAAACGTACATACACATTTCGAGATTTATAATATTAGTAGGAATAATAGGAAAGTAGGAATATTAGTAGCAGGGAAATTATTTTTGAAAATGCATCCAAGAAAAGTTCTGATATGTGTCCAAAATTTTTTTTAAAGAATCAGACGTCGATCTCCGGAATGGACGA